ATATATAACTATATATTTACATATATCAATTTTTTTTAAACTATTCTTAATATTTGTTATCAACTATGTAATTGTACGGCTCTACTTTTTTTTGTAACAAAAATACTTTGTTTTAGCTTTAAGCACAAGAACCCAAAAACAAAATGAAAGAAAAGAAAAGCGAGAAAAGCGAGAGGAAAAGGCAAGTGAATGTAAACGATATTTGTCTATATCATATTCTGTATATCATAGTGAATTATAGTAACCAATTTTCTAACCAATGGGACTGGTCTACTTAGTCGTGTCAAAAAACAAAAGCAACTATAACAAAAGTTAATCATAAAATTTTAAGTAAAAACTAATAGCACAAATAGCAAGGCGCGCGCATGAATTGGAGCGCTAATTATGCTTATAAATTATTATTAATACATATTTACACACACCCACATATACATAAACACATGAACACAGATACATATATGTACTGTGCACTTAAAGTGCATATTTTATTGATACATTAATAAATAAAACGCAGAAAATGACAAAAAAAAAGAGTTTTTAAAATTTCAATTTGAATTAACAGTAGTATGGGCAGCACCGCACACAACTTGGCAGCACTGCCTCCAGTAAGCATCGATACTTTTGTGCGATCAATGATCAATCGAACTGTTCCGGGCATTTACATCACAAGTTCCAAAATATCAAGTAATAATTTATCGCAGTATTTTAAAACATAAATTTCCAAATTAAAATGTAAATTAAATTCCAACAGGAATTTATTATATAATATACATGTTAAATAAGCCGAAGCCATAAAGCATTGTCGTCGAAATTATGAGATTTTTGCTACTGCGTACACGAACATTTACTATTTTTACATTCGAGCTGCACTAGCAATGAAATATTAAGAACTTTTTGTTAACAGCCAGTGTGATCTAGTTTATGTACATAAAAATACAGGCATATTTAAAAAGCGCGCCCTACACTTATACTGCTGATGTCACAAATTACTATCGTATAAAATACAAACCTATCGATAGATGCGCAGTGTGCCCTCAGTTTTCTCAGCACTGTCTTGCATACGAGCATCGATGTATCGATAGGCATTGTATAATTTTATTTGTTGTGCTGAAAATCAGCAACGGGCAAGTCGAAAACTTTTGGAGCAATGGCTCAACTCCTGCTGCGAAACCTCACACGAGCCGGCAATGCGGCGCTCATAACAAAAGGCACCAGCAGCTCCATCACAGGCGCCGAGCCCGGCAGCCGTCAGCTGCACACAACGCAGGCATGCTGCGAGATTAGGAAACTCGCTCGACTGCGCGTGGTGGACAACAGTGACCTGGGCAAGCGTGCCATGGCCGAGGGTCGGCCGCCCCGGTGCATCCATGTGTACAACAAGCGGGGCGTTGGCCTGATCGGCGACAAGGTGCTGGTGGCCATCAAGGGCCAGATGAAGAAGGGCATCCTGGTCGGCCTCAAGCAGAAGCAGCGCATAAAGCAGCCCCAGTTCGACAGCAACAATCTGGTGCTCATCGACGACAACGGCTCCCCGCTGGGCACACGCATCCACGTGCCCATTCCCACGGTGCTGCGGACCATACTGAAGGAGAAGACGCTGGCCAAGGGCGCGGACTACACGAAAGTCCTGGCCATAGCCAGCCGTTACGTTTAACTGACGAACTCATGCGTTTTTTCATGTGTTTGTACACAGGATATATATAAATATGTATAAATAAATAAATAAAACATGAATGTTCTTTATAGTAATAAGTAGTATAATGTTTATAATGTAGTTTCTCTTATTATTTCGCATTTTTTAGTAGTAGTAGATCCCTAACGTAAGTGTGTGTGTGTGTGTGAGGGTGTCTGTATGTGTGTATATGTGTATATTTATTTAGATGTATGTACATATGCGCGTTTCAGTTTAGTTAGTTTACAATAATAGTTGTGGTTGCTTTTGCGTTGGTTTAAATGATAACAGAAATGCACATTAGAAGTTGCTTCAGGCCGAGCAGTTGTTGGGCAGAGCGAGACAGCTAATCTTGTGTTACTCCGCTCTCTCTCTCTCTCACACGTTCAGTTGCTTCAGTGAAGCAGCCAAAAAAGACGACAAGCGAGAGCGAGAGAGAGCTAATTTCTTGTCCTGCTCACTTTCAGTTTCCGTACTCCTCTCTCGCTCTCTCTCCTGCTTAGTGTGGCCTTGAAGCATTTGTTTCATGCCTTCCATTCATAGTAAGTACAGGTACAGCCTCCTCCTCCTCCTCCTCCTCCTCCTCCTCATCATCATCATCCTCATCCTCCTCCTTCCATATCCATCCAACTCCTCCTCCCTTGTTCAACTTATATTTTCTTAGATGTTGCCCGCGCTGTTGTAGAACTGAAAGTTATTGTAGTTGACCGGTGTCTTGGGACTGGGACACATGTATAGGAAATCATCGTTCTGCAGCTGGGATTGGGTTAAATTTGGCTCGCTGGCGCTGCGATGAATCTTGGGCAATGTGCGCAGCATATTCTCCAGCATGTTGAGTAGGGGCCGAAACAGCGGACGCTCCTTGGGATTGTATTTGATGCAGTCCTCGGAGAGACGTTTCAGCGCCTGCGGTGCATCGGATCGCACCTGGGTCATATCGGGACGCAGCAGACCGCGCCCAACCATGAACAAAATCTGATCCTTGTTGCTGATGTTGCGATAGGGCAGGCACTCGGCCAGCAGCTCGTACATGACTATGCCGAACGCATAGACATCTGATTGAAAGGAATAGGGATTCTGTTCCTGCATGCGTATCACCTCTGGTGCCATCCACAAAATGCTGCCCGTTGGCTGATTTGCTTGCTTCTCGCCCGACCAGCGCGTCTTGGCGGTGGCCAGGCCGAAATCGCCAATCTTCACGGACAGATCCTCGTGCAAGAAAATGTTGTTTGTCTTGAGATCCCTGTGCGTAGATGGAGAAAGCCAGAATGGTGGGGCGATCGTTAACCTCCATATATTGTACTAAATCCCATATTCCAGCGACTCACCTGTGTATTATGTTCTTGGCATGCAGATAGTCCATGCCCTGCGCCACCTGCCTGCCAATGTCGATGAGGGTGTTCAGCTTGAACTTCGTCTCGTTGACATGGACGTGCTTGTAGAGGCTGCTGCCCTCGCACCACTGGGTGACTATGGCCAGCGAGGGCTTCGAGACGCAGCCCATGAACAGCAGAATGTTGCAGTGGCGCGTCTTCTTCAGCATGGCCACCTCATTCTTGAACGCCTGCAGCTGGGCCGGGCTCGGCGTCTTCACCTTGAGCGTCTTCACCGCTACGGGTCCATGCCAATGGGCGCGATAGACTGTTCCAAACGAGCCCGATCCGATGCGTGGCCCAATCAAGATCTCCTCTGCTTGGATGTTCTATAGGCAAATGTATAAAAGATATCAAATTCAGATTAGCTGCATCTTGGATCTACACTACATCGCCATGCTGCAACTCACCCAATTCTCTTCCGAGCTCTTGGCGTCACGTGAGAGCAGATTCTTGTTGCTCTCGTCGGCGGATCTGGCCCGGGGTCGATTGTGCTTTAGGGTGCTGGTGGGCGACGACTGCGTCGAGTTCGAATGATCCGTGCACGGATGCTGCAATGGGTCAAACGGAGAAGAAGAAAAAAACAAACAAAAAAAGAGAGAGAAAGAGGAGAGCGCGGAATAAAACCAAAAAACGAGCAACATTAAGCCGAAAATAAAAATAAATAATTCACGTGCGTTAGTCAACAGATTTAAGCCAGCTCGATTCTAATAAATGTTATGTACTCTCTACTACTATTTTCTATAGCTCTATCAAACCTTCACCCATTTTCCAAAGCAACTATGTTTCAATAAATTTCACACAACTTATCACTTCTGTTCCACACTTGCCAGAGAAATTCTTTTACCATCTAGTACAAGTCGGTTTCAGGCCAGTTCGATAAGCCTTGAACAAGATTGTATGGAATGGCTTTACGATAAGCCTTAAGAAGTTCTATAGAAAGTTTAAGTGGAATTCTTTCACACTTTGTTTATAACTGATGGGAACAACAAAGAGGGGAGCCGACACTTCTGTGCTATTTTTATATATTATAAAGTTAGTTTTGCATTGAAGTCCATTCAACTTCTTAGGGTTTCAGTTCAAACAACTTTGATAGAATCACTTTTATCTATATTTTACGCTTGCAAGTGAATTTAGGAATTATAATAATTTGTAATTTGGGTTTACATTTGAACCATGGCTTAAATCTTGAATCTCCTAATGAACCCAAGAGAGAGATTGAAAGGGGGTATACTTCTTGACTTTCCAGCATCGGTTAATACTTAGTTCCACTGCAGATATTTTTCACTTAATATATGTTTAAGCCAAGTACAGTCAGTCAACTAGCTCCTACATAGATATGTATCATATAAGTCCATCTGTTGTCCAGTCTAACAACCAGCTAGGAATTATCTTTGCACTCAAATCCTTTGAGGCATGGTCAATTGAAATCCGTTTAGTCTAGACGGGAGCTCATTCTCACCCAGTTATCAATTGGTTATTCAGACTATACATAGATAGTTAGCCCCACTAGCCCCTCCATGTCCAGGTGTCCGACACCCACTTACCGGCAATGGGGGCCTGGCTTGCATGATGAGGCTGCGCTGCGTGTCGTTGGTCAGCGGGCGGATGCTGTTGATGCAGACATTGGGCGCCGAGTTGGAGCGGTCGTCCTGGCTGATGCGCGGCGGTCGGCCCTGTCGGTTGGCAGAAGGTTTAGAGCTGCTGTTGTTGGTGGTTGTTGTGGTTGTGGTCGTGGCGGTGCTGCTGCTGCCGCTGCTGCTGCAGCGACGGCTACTCACATTGAAGCGGACAGCATTGCTGCGACCCACGGGCAAACCCACCGAGTTCTCCGGATACGATGACAGCAGGCGCTCGTAGTAGCTGTCCACGGAGAAGGGCTGGCAGAGCATGGGCACCCGGCCGGCGCAGCGCTGATGGAACCGGAAGTTGCACTGGCTGCAATAGAAGCCCGTGAAGAGCAGCCGACGGCAGCCCTCGCAGAAGACGATCGAGAAGAAGGTTTTGCGTATGAACTGGTGCTTGATGTGCGGCCCCAGCGGGAACTTGTCCAGCAGCCGCACATAGATCTCCTCCACGTGCAGCGTGCCAATGTCCGTGTTCCACGGTATGATATGTCGGCCGCTATGCGGCGTCGTGCTCACCTCGCACATGAACGGCTCCAGCTGGCGCAGCGTGAGCGCCTTCATCAGGGCGTCGCACAGCCGAGTCCCAGCCACCACCTCGACGGAGGTGCGCTGCTGGTTGGGCAGATGGGCGCGCAGCAGCACCTTTGGCTGGCGGGTCAGGGTGCCGCACTGGCTGCCCGACCCGGTCTCGCCCGGTGTCTGCTCGTGAGCGTGCCTGGCCAGCTGGCGCTGTTGCTGGAGGATTTGCGTCTGGTTTTGATAGTGTGGCTGATCCGTGCGATCCGCACTTAATGTCGACTGTTGCTGCTGCTGCTGCTGTTGTTGCTGCTTGGCCTCGCTCTGGCTTTGGCTCTTGGAATCATCGTCCTGTTGCAGAGCATTCAATTGCTCCATTAACTCGTGCTCCTTGGCCTTCAACTCGTGCAGCTTGGACGTCAGCTCCTGGTATTCTATACGAAAAAAGAAGAGAAATCTGCAGTGAGCAATTGCGAAAGTACGTTGGGTGTTGAGAATCCACCTGTTAAGTACATAGCTGGCGGCTCCTGAAGATTGGCGAATTTCGCATTCAATGCGTCGATGTTCTCCCTCGTCACATGGATGACCAGCTGGACATTGTGGAGCTCGTCGGCAAGCGGATCGTAGACATCGCTGTCGCTCTCCGGCGATGAGTCGGTCGACATGGCGACGACTCCAAATGGCTCTCACCTGCGTCCAGGTGATTCGTTTGACAACTTTAACACCCCAGCTTCTACAGCTGCCTGACCATGACCCTGACCCTGAACTTTGTTGCTGCTGCCGCTGCGGCTGCTGCTGCTGCTGATATTTTTGCTTAGATTATTAGTTTTGGTCAGTTGTTTGTTTTGCGCTTGCGTTCAGAATTTGCTCGATTGACACTGGTTGACACCCACGTTCGCATCCGCTTCCACATCTAAATGCACAAGCACAAACACTACCAGCTGAGAGGCAACGGCTGCTGCTGGCAGCCAGCGGCTGCATTTTTTCACTCGCCCGACTTTTAATTGATTAAAACGCAGTCCGCGGATGCTGTTTCTTCTTCTACTACTGATTCTGCTTCTGCTTCTGCTGCTGCTGCCTCTGCTTCTTCTGCTGCTGCTACTGCTGCTGCTGCGTTGCGTATATTTTGGAGTCGATAAGTTCAAGTTCTGAGCTAGCTCGATAGTGCGGTCACTCAGTAAGTCGTGAAGCAGCTCAAGCGGCGCACTTATCGATATACCATAATACATCGCATTGCAAAAAAGAAAACGCGCGAAACTTACAATACGTGCACATATAAGCAGAAAAGTATAAAATTCTAGTTTTATTAAAATAAACTAAATTTATTATAAGCTTAGCATTACACAAATAAACAGTTTCTTTCATATTACTGTACAATATACGACATAGTTAAGTTAACAAGTCAAGACCAATATAAGATTTGTATAAGACCAATTGAGTTAACACTTCAAATGAACCAACTGCACTCTTAGGTAAATATCGGCAGTGAACATCTGATAACGGCACATCGATATTTGTAAATATTTAATGAACGTTGATTTTTTGGTGTATGTCTACATTACATTAGGTTTTAATTTCCTGAGTAAGCTAATGTAATGTTCACTTTATATGATTTCATATAAAATAGTTTGATACGCGCACACGAATCACATTTCACTTGTATCGATAGTTGTCGTGCTCAAACTTATCGACTTGTGTTTCTAGCATCCCTAATTTCCCTGAACGACACACTTTGACATTTTCAGTGAACGCAAACGTTTGCACATTGAGATTGCTCGGCCAAAAAAGTCACTTAAATGTGCAAAATTAATGCACAATATTAACACTAAAATCTAAACTGGAGTCATGGACGAAGGTAAGGTAGTGTGCGCCCATCCTGGGTATTCCACTTTAGCTCAACAATTCCATTAAATTCATCTATACTTGTGTGTATATCTTCCTGTCTCTTTCGCGGCGTCTTCAATGCTCGCTTGCTGTTGCTCTATCAGAATATTCAACGGCGTCTTCCGCCGGTGGCGCCGGCGGCAAAAAGGCCGGTGTTGGCAAACAGCACAATACGCTGCCACTGTGGGGCAATGAGACCTCAATGAACCTCAATCCCCTGATTTTGGCCAACATACAGAGTTCCAGTTATTTTAAAGGTAAGCCAATCTAACCAAAATTTACCCGCCAAAAAGAAAAACGAAAGAAAAATAAAAATCAGAAAGAGATGAGAGAAAAACAATTGATTGTTGCTTTTGCCCGCACAGTTCATCTATTCAAGCTGAAAACGTACCATGAGGTCGTCGACGAGATCTACTACCAAGTGAAGCACATGGAGCCCTGGGAGCGTGGCTCGCGCAAAACCTCCGGCCAGACGGGCATGTGCGGCGGTGTGAGTTTATGAAATGTAGCGCTAATCGTTGGCGATAATATTTAATCCGTTGATTAAAGTGAGAAGTGCAGCACGATATGCTAATGCTTTTCGTTTGCAGGTACGCGGTGTTGGCGCCGGCGGCATCGTATCCACCGCCTACTGTCTGCTCTACAAGCTCTACACGCTCCGTCTGACGCGCAAGCAAGTGAACGGACTACTCAACCATACAGACTCAGCCTACATTCGGGCACTAGGTAGGTGGTTGGTAAGTTGCATGAGTTCAGCCGTGTCTCACTCGTTGCTTGCTCCTGCTCCGCCCGCGTCTCTCTTTGTCTCACTCTCCCTCTATCTATCTCAGTCAGTACGCAGCTCATTTGATCCAGTTCAGTTACAAAATATCAATTATGATTATTTTTCTTATAAATGCAATCAAGTTCATAGACATGTGTTTATATTATAAACAATATACAGTTAACGTGTTTTAAAGTACTTTGAGAATAATGTATAGAATTATGATATTTATACCATGATACTATATACGCATATGTCGCGAGTTTAAAGAAATATGATAAAGTTATTATAACCATGTGTTGCGATATGATATAGTATTTCCAATTTGATCTTCATAATTGATAAATCTTTGTATCATGTTATATGTATGTATATTAAATATTTGTGTATAGTAGTTATACTGTATATATTAGCAATACAATAGTCTTATATATAGTTAGTTCGCTCTTCTATATTTGTCCATATTACAAACTTAAACTTTAGATTCAATTCATCATTATGATCTCGCTGAGCTGCGTGCTATCCTCTTCCTATTTATGACTGTGTGTGTGTGCTCTATAATTATTTTATGCTTTTCGTGTAAATTGTCTGTAGGTTTTATGTACTTACGCTATACGCAGCCGCCGGGAGACTTGTATGACTGGTACGAGGACTATCTGCAGGACGAAGAGGAGATCGACGTCAAAGCGGGCGGCGGCCAGGTGAGTCAACTGTATGAGCCACCAATCAATATGCACAACGAGTCCAATCAATTTTGCAATCGCGCCCACATTCGACTAATCAACATTCTCTGTTCGCTTCCCGGTGTGGGCCCGGCCAGGTGATGACTATTGGCCAGATGGTATATCAGTTCATGACAAAGCTGGACTGGTTCTCCACGCTCTTTCCGCGCATTCCCGTGCCCATACAGAAGCAGATCGAGAAGCGGATCGAGCAATACTGCCGGGAGCAGGGCATCACGATCAGCCAGCTGAGCACGGGTCGGGGCAATCCTGCGTCGGCAGCTGCGCCCGGCTCTGCTGCAGCCGTGGCCACAGGCTGTGATGACTATGAAGGCGGTGGGCGTGGCCATGGGGCAGCGCGTTCCGGCGGAGGTGGCTATCCGCCTGCCAACTATCGTAATGATCATGACGATCGCGACTACTATGCAGCGCCATCATCTGGCTCATCGTATGGCCGCAGTCGCTGCTACGACGATTACCCTCCGCCGGCGTTAGCCTCCTCCATGCTGCCGTATGGCAATGTCGAGCGCGATAAGGACTATGGCGACCGTGGCGATCGCGGCGATCGTGTCGAGCGGCGTCGCAGCAGCAAGCACAAGAAGAAGCACAAGCACAGACAAAACTCGCGAAGCCGCAGTCGCAGCCGCAGCAAGAGTCGGAGCACCAGTCGTGCCCGTCATCGTCACGATCGCAAGCGCGAGGAGCGTGGCAGCCGTCATCGGTACAACGATCATCACGATGAACGCGAGAAGGATAAGGACAGGGAGCGTGAGCGGGAGCGCGACAGGGATAGAGATAGGGAAAGAGAAAGAGAAAGGGAGCGCGATCGGGACCGTGACCGTGAGCGGGATCGTGAACGGGACCGGGAGCGGGAGCGACGTCATCGTTGACACTGACGAAGTTGTTTTTCTTTAGCAAACTGAATATTGTTTCTTAATATGTAGAACACTAGATTTTTTATTTGTAATGACATTTCTACAATCCCACTCCTTCCCCTTCCTCCTCCTCCACTTCATTGCGGGCCAGTGTGATGCACGTATACTACTCGCATTCAACTGGACTTTTACTCAGGTTAACAACAGACTCACACACACACACACACACGCACACACACATACAGACAAGCATTATGGCTATATTTTGTAATTCATAGCTCTTAACTTTTACGCTGAATGTAAATTTTTCAAGTTGAGTTTTTAATGCAAAATAAAAATAATAACACTTGTTTAAGGTTGACGATCGTTTTTACTACCAATATGTGAAAAATGGTTAGAAATTCGGTTTGAAAATTTAAAGAATAGAAATTGCTCATTCAAAAAGTGTTTGGAAAGCTTTTGATGTGTACAGTGAACATTAATTTTTATTTTACTTTTTAATAACTATAATTAAGTATTTGTGAAAGAACTATTTCAAAATGTGTTTTTATATTTTTAAATAAATATTTTTTTATATGCATATATAAATTTTTATTTTTTTTATTTTATTCAGTTCTGCTCTTGTCTGAGACTTAACCACTGAGTGGGACTGTATGCCAGTGTAATAATCTCAGGTCTAGATTTCCTCTATTACTAAGCTATTATAGTCTTTTACGTTTGGATGTAAATTCGTAATCTTCTGTTGCTGGTATTCAAATTAGATGCAAGATGATTTGGATTCACATACCTGAAGCTGTGTCACTGAACAGTTCTACGACTGTTGGAATCTATAAATCCCTATGAAACATCGAGTTTGTTACAAGCCACTTATCTCCAGTCCATCTTTGTAGCGCCTAAGGCTACATTCGTAGTTCCTTCCTATAGTTGTCTCTCTTTTCCTATATTCATTCCTTCATTCTGTATAGAATACGGACGAACAAAAGAACGACTATATCCTTCTAGATGGAGGCTTTGCAGATATACGATAGCTGTAATGTGAGCTTGTATATTATGGTAAGCCGGTCATTTAAGGTGTGCTTTTGTGGAACTCGAAATTGGGGACCTATCCGGACATCACCCCTCAGTGGCAAAGATGTGATGCATCACATAAATATTCATTCTAAGCCTTAAGCGAATCGCGCCTCAAAGCTGGCTACGTTTGGGCTATTGCTGGCAATGCCTTTCCTCATGCAAGGCTGGCAATGCTGCCTGCGCCTGTAAGCGGGCAAATCTTTAGAAAAATGCTCATCGGCCTATGCCCGCCATTCTGGTTGTTAAATATTTGACAGCTAGTTTAACGGGAGATGCTAACGAGCGCAGAGAAATGAAAAAATGTGAAATTTAACAGTAGCATGCGAAAATGAGCGTTAAAGCAAATAGAGAAGGCAAACAATACACGCATACGTATGCGTGTCTGTACACACACACCCATATAAATATGTACTCATATTTATATATAAAAATAGGCAATTGACAGAAGAGTGCGAAGTGTGCGTTCAATGAATTAATATTAATATTTAACTAGCTAAAATGCGCGCCCAAAATAAATAAAATGAACACGCGTGAATCTGCATATGTGTGTGTGTGTGTGCTTTAAATTATATTTGTATGCATGCGCTAGTATTTGTGCATCGGCCACAGAAGCCAGCCTAGTTTATTAGCTAGCGGCGCAGAGCAGAAGCAGAGCTAAGTCGAGTCGAGTCGGGCAGAGCAGCGCTGAGCAGAGCTGAACAGAGCAGAGCAGCTTAAACACCGGGCAAGCCTCCAATGAACCACGCCTCAGGCCCCGCGTGGCCCGCTAAGTCGATGTGTGAGAATTTGAGTCTGTTTGAGCTTAAGTCGGAACGAAACAAAATAAATAAATAAAAAAAAAGAAAAAAAAGAAAACAGTTGCTTGCGCACAGTGAAACGCGAAGCAAGCGCCGCCAACGTCGCCGCGTTCTCTTGTCCGCACGCTCGCTCGTCAACGTACGCGTCAAACGTGTTGCCGACCGTTACAAAAACGAAAAAATGTATATGTATACATATGTGCATACAACAAATAAATACAACTAAATAACGACAACAACTACAACGAAGAAAAGCAATCAAAACGAAACGGCAAATACGCAAAAGAAAAAGCTGCGAGCCAAAAAGCTAAAAGAGTTAAAATGTAATTTGCATGTGTTTTAAACAGCTGCTAAATTCAATATCTAAACACATACACATACACATACACGAGCACAAACACAGAGAGACGCAGCACCAGCAGCAGCGACAGCGGCAGCGACAGAGGCAGAGGCAGAGGCAGAGACAGGCTTTAAAGTGTTTGTAATTGATCAATGTCAGCACATGGGAAAATGCAATGAATGCAACAGCCAGGGCTGCTGCAGCAGTTGCACAACCCGGCTCGTAACGCAACCGCAAACAATTTAAGTTCACATTAATTGCCTGTCAAATATTGTAAGCAACTACACACTTGATATAAACCACAAATATATAGTTACAAGTCACGAGTGGTATTTATATGGCTGCCGTATTTGCTAAAGCCCAATTTGCTTAGGAGCGAGCGAGCGAGCAAGGGAGCGCGCCAGCCCTGGCAACGATAAACGCAGAGCGCACAATGTGCGCGTGCGTGTGCGCGTCAAACGCTTGCTCTGGCCATTTTCGTGTGCAATAAACATAAAGCTAAGGCTAAAGTGTGAAATAGATGTACACACTTATGCATAAATGAATACATATGCACAAGTACACGCATGCTCGCATGAATATACACACATACGTACATATGTATGTTTGTGCGCGCCCTCCCTCTCAACAACATTCATTGTGGAAGCGTTTCATTGAAAGTTAACTTCAATCGGTTACTGGGCCAGCAGCAGAGTATAAGAGCGAGAAAAAAAGAGAGAGTAAGAGGCTGTTAGACTGATTATAAGAGCGCGCTTATGTTATCCTTCAGTTTTCTTAGTGTTTGCCATTTCGTCAATTGTATTGACGTAATGCAATGTGCCGTTCAAGCGAAACACAAATACACACACAGCACACAGAGACATATGTACATACGCATACATACATAATTGCCAATACATACAGTTCGGCGTCTATCGCAGGTGTGTTGCCTAAAGTGGTTTCCATTTCGCAACGAGACAACGGGACGGTGGCAATCGGCGTCACATCAGCGTCAGCAGCGACGTCAGCGTCTTGTCAAAAATTGCACTTTGCTTGTTCTGTTTGCTGTTGTTGTCTCTTCATTTTCGTTGTTTGTTATTTATGCCGCTTGATGGGGCGGCACTTTTGCAGTCAAGCATGCGTCGYTGCCGATGCCGCCCACAGGTTGCATGACTGATCGGGAGTGTTTGCACACTCACACTCACACTCAAACTCAAACTCTCTAACACACATACACACTCTGTCATATTTATGCTATGTACATATTTATGTTTGCATTTGCGCCCTTGTTTTCTCTTCCCTCTCTCTCAAGAGAGAGGGTCTCTCTTTTGTTCCTTCTGTGGCGATCTGCCTTGTCGCTAGTTACTGGTCGCTGGCCGCGGCTGCGTCTGCGGCTGCGTCTGACAAATAAATGCGCGTCACACCGCCGTCGACGTCGCGACGTCCGCGGCCCCTGCCACTGACGTCATAGCCAGCACGGCGCGAGCAAAGTGCGCAACGAATCACAATGGGCCACCGCTCGCGGTTCGCTGGTGAAATTGATATTGAGATGACATTACCTCTCCATTAATCACATGTTATCGATCATTGTCATTGCGATTGTCGCCTCGATTGTGCTCATTCGCAAACGCCTTCTTCGCACCATCCCATCCACAGCCATAGCCAAGGACTGAACTCATCATTAAACAGCAGTTAAATGCGAATAGCTTTGCCAACCACAGCGAGTGCTAAATAGATGACTTTCAATTTTGACGGTAGATAAAAAGTCGAGACAAACTTAGATAATGACGTCTCAGTTGTTGATAATATTATATGGCTCTATGTATCAATAGATAATAAGTACAAAAATCATTTCCTCCAGTCATTTTGTGATCGTTGTGCAACAAATTCTAAAAATATACACATACATACATATATTGGATGTTTCATTCTACATAGTGCAGCTYGTAATATATGTGATTTGCGTCAGCTGAAGTTTTCTATTTTTCGCTACCAAAACTCATTGTTTTTGTTACAGACTGATGTTTGAGTCACATTTCATACGTCAATTGGCGAATTTCCTTAATTAATGCTGCGCGAACATGATGTAAAATTATATGAGCTGCGAACCAAGAGCGTGATCCACTGTGCGTCAGCATATGAGAACGCGACGTCTGTCAGTCTGTCAGTCGCTGTGCATGTATGCGTCTCCTTGTCTGTGTCTCCCTCTCTCTGTGTGTGCGTGTGTGTGTGTGTGTGTGTTTGTGTGCTTTTTTGTGCTTAAATGCAATTACGCGCTCAAGTTAAGAAAACTAGCAAAGCAATTGGAGCGCAGCAACAAAAACGAAATACGAGTATAAATAAATAAATAAGCAGCAATAAGTGTGTGCGTGTATTTGTTTGTTTGTGTGTGTTTGTATGTGTGCGGGATCATTGCACATTGCGTCAACGTTTCAAGATCACACACAATTCCAATTCCAATTCCAATTTCAATTCCAATTCTGCTTACAATTGCAGCCAGCAATAACAGTAGCAGCAGCAGCAGCAGCAGCAGCAGCCGTAGCAGCAGCAGCGATAGCCGCAGCGGCCGCATCAAAGCAGTCAGCGTCACTGATAGCCGCAGCGGTCGCGGTCGTGTAAGCGGGCAATGATCAAGTACGAAAATTCAATAGAACGGGATAAACGCCATCAGCGCCAGTGGCAACACCTTCTACATCAACAGCAGCAGCAGCAAGAGCAGCATCAGCAGCTGCAGTCGCAGCAATATCATTACCAGCGTCACGCTGTCGCTGTCGCAGTTGCCGTCGCTGTTGCTGTCGCTGTCGCCGTTGGCGTCGCTGTTGAAGACCGTGTTTATAGTCAGAGCGACAGTTAAGCGACGGCAGCGGCAGGTGTCATTTGAATTTGAGTTGCGCGGACGCGTTCAAATCGAAAGCTCGAGTTTATAACGCACGCGACGCCGACGTTAACGCTGACGTCGACAGCGATGAGTGCGCGCCGCGATGGTCAACAAAATTCCGCCGACGCCGCCGCCGCGTCCGAAACTGAAATCGTAACCGAAACCAAAACTAAAACCGAAACCAAACCCGATACCGAACCCGAAACCGAAACCGAAACCGATTCAATGCTCAAGATAATGACTGCGACGCCGGCATCAGCGACAAGAGCAACGACAACGGCAACGGCAACGACATCAGCGTTGACGGCGCTGACAACGGTTAACGCTCAAAATAAATGCGCGACGGCAGCGCCAACGACTTTTAGTTATCTGAGAGCAGCGAAGCGTTGCGCACGCCTCGAACAGAAAACAGTCGCAGCAACGAAAGCACAAGCACAAGCGCAAGTCCAAGCAACAGCACCAGCACGAACAGACGAAGAAGAGGAAGCTTTCCCGAAAGAGAGCACAACATTAAGAGAGACAGACACTCTGCGTGCGATTCCATGTGAACGACAGCTTTGCCTCGCTGAGCACAAGGCGCAACTGCGCGCAGCTTTTTTCCAGGATCTTAACGCTTTTACAGCGCAACAACAACAACAACAGCCACAGCCACAGCCACAACGGCGACTTCCAGTTAGAGAGATCGAAACGGAAGCTCTTCGTTCCAGGACGCCCATACAGCAGCTGATTGAAAAGTTCCAAGCAATGATTGTGCAGCAGCCAGCAGCAGCGGAGGCGCCGGGGCAGCTGAAGCCAGCTGTTATTACGAGCAGCGCTGCCAACTCGGACGAGGGCTGCAATGCGGGCGGCATCAGTCCATGCAGCAGCGACAATGAGTGCGACGCCGTTGCCCGGCGTAAGCCGAAAGTGACGCGCTGTGCGAGCAGCGACTCGGCGCTGGGCCTGGAAGTGGACGACGTCAATATGGAGACGCTGCCGTCGCCGCAGCGACGCATGACATTAACAGTTACCGATTTGCCGTTGCGACCGGCTCTGCTGCCACTGGCCGAGCCGACAGCTCTGCCAGACTCGCCGCTGACCTCGCCGACCAGCGCCACCGCCGCCATCGGCATGGGCGTGGGCGTGGGCGTCGGCGGGGGCGTGCCAACAAAAGTGTTGCTGGAGGAGCGCGTCGTCGCGGCGCTGGCAGCGCCGCCCGGTTCACGGCGCGAGTCCACGCAAAGCTGCGTCAGCGAGCTGGGCGGGATGCCGGGCGTGCGTTACGTGCGAACGCCTTCGGTGGTTGTCTCGGACTATTCGGATGATATAACCGCATGCGGCATCAGCATGGAGGAGATGGAGTATTTTCGCCTGCAGCGCTCACGCGGCCAGCGTCGCTGCTCGCTGGAAGCGAGTGCCGCTGCCGCCGGCAGCATCGGCGGCGCCAAGGATGAAGCTCAGTCGGATGTGAGTGCGGCGAGCAGCTGCAGCAACCTCTACTATTGCGGCTCCACCATTTCGGCGCTGGACGGCGGCGAGTGCATTGTGAACGGCATTCGCGTCGCACTCGCCCGCAAGTCGAGCAACAGCAGCAGCGGCGAGCTCAGCGGCGGCGACGACGGGGACATAGACATCGAGCAGCAGCAGCAGCAGCAGAAGCAGCAGCAGCAGCAGCAGGAGCAAGAGCGAGAGCGTCAGCTGAGCGAGCTTTTGGCTGCCACGCAGCTCGGCGATGGCACTAAGAAGGTAGGCAGCAGCAGGCAGCGCTGCAGCGACGACGGCAACGATGGCAGCGACGGCAGCGTCACAATTATAGGAAATCTCAATTAAGATTAAAAGACACACAATGTAGGATGGGGGGTTGATCAGGGGCGGGCTGTGTAGGGGGCAGTGGGTAGATGGTATGTGTGTGTGTGTGTGTTTGTGTGTGTGCGTTGTGTATTATTTTTGTTGTTTAAATTTAGTATATCTATTATAGGCATATACATATACATATATATAATTGTTTTTTTTTTTTTTATGATGTAGAGAGAGTTCGAGATATTAGAGTTAGAGAAGTGGGCGGGGCGGGCGGGCGCAAGTGAGTACAGGTAATTAATTTGCCGCTTATCTTATCGCCAGGCAAGATTCCATTGCTGTGGAACGAACTACGGGTGGGTTTTTAGTATATAATGTGTATATATACATGTATATATATAAACTTTTTTTTTGTATCTTATGAGTCGACGCCGACAAATGATGATGTTGAAATTGGGTGCGCTAATAAAAGTTGTGGCAGCGACTTCAGCTATATACATATGTATATCGACAAACATATATACATAACTGTGCTATCACAACACACACAGAGCAGACACACACACACACACACACAAACACACGGGCATACACAAACGACGGACGCTTATCTTAGTGATTAACTCTGTATATTTTAGTATTATAGATATATACAATGCGCCTATATGTGTATTATTTCTCCTGTGTATATACGTTCTATATATCAAGAGATCCGGACGGATAGACCGACCGACCAGAACAGCAAGAACTATATAGTATTGTGTAAAGTAAATAAAGAAAACTTGGATTATACATACATATACATATACATATATAAACAGCTATACGTAATAAAAAAGCATAATATAAACATACAATATATATATATTTACATATATATCTATAGCGCAACAATTGCAAAGCTGTGTTTGTATATATATCACATTTATATACATGTTATTATCTAGCTTATCTGGGCTTTGCTATAACTCTATCTACATCTTTATCTATATTGGCCATTGTTGTTTCTTCACTCTTCAGACAGTCGGAGAAGTGTGAAGCTTTGTAAGGGTATGATATGGTAAAATAGGTATATGAATATGGAGAATAGGAAGAGAATATCCATAATGAAACCATAATTCAATATACCACATGTATATGAATCCGCAAGCTCTTTTATGATCTTCTCAATGTGGGAGTTAAAGTTCTTCGCTATCTTTTATGCACATAATGCTCTAGTTTCAATCACCCATAACACTCGCCAAGCGTATTTCATTTCACACTTAGGCTAAGCCCATTTTGGTAATATCTTTAAAATGGGCTTGAAAGCAATTGATTTTGGCTACGTGCATAAAGAACATTTTCGGAATTTTGAAAATACTCACGAACTCGCAATAGGAATTCGACCTAATTTCACGACCATACAATGATATACACATATATATAAGTATATATACTTTGTGCATCCATTTTTATGTGACCATTATGTGCTTCAGCTATGCTGCAATTTCCAGAAGCTAAGCCCAAGATTTTTCGTAGACTAAATCAATGCCGCGACTCTCTTATAATACATAGATAATCTGGATTAATTTAAAAGCTTAGACTTAATTTGTAGTCTTTTCCAGAGCATTCAAATGTTTTTACTCTTCCTATTCCACATGCGTTCATGGGACTTATCTAGTCCCAGACACTTGCCTAAGGAAATCGTAATTAATTATAATACTTAAGCGCGGTCTGGCTGGGCTATACTGTGTCAATATTCCATATCTCTTTATGCGTTGAATGAATTTTATGAATGTACCCAGATCTAACATAACCGAGCTTTGTACTCTGTTTCTCTGGCTGCGTCTGGGCTTATCAAGTATGCTTTGTTTTCGACACGATCCATTCGTAAGCCACATATGTATGTACATATATAATAAGATATATTACTAGTATATCTCTAGTATATCTGACATACGTCATGCTTTGTTTTTATGAAACGCAGTTGCTTCACATGTCAGTTTCAAAGTCACAGATTGGGGATTTTACATTAATCTAAGGGAAACTTCTACAACTTGCATTTCGGGAAATAGGCAGATAGAGCAAGTCAGGGAAAGGGAGTGGGGTAGCTGTAGAAAAATTTTCCGCGAAAGCGAAATGGAAATGTTTTTCGGTAAATAAAGAAATATAAATAACAGTATATCTATCATCTTTGTGTATTTTCTTGATATACATGAAAGATCGTCACAGATAAGATATTTTCATGTCCATTTGTTGACTTATGATATCAGTTTCTGGTATTCATTGGAATACCCATTTCCTGGTAGAACAAGTCGACGCTAGGTGAAGGTGCAACTATAGAAAAAGGGTGCAGAGAGAGAGATAGAGAGAGAGAGTTTGGGATGTTATTTATTTAGCTAGAGAGAGAATGAGCCTGAGGCCTAGTGATGAAATCATAGGAAGAGAGAGAGGCAGAGAGAGAGAGAGAGCGATATAGAGAAAGAGAGAGAGAGAGAGACAGCAAGGTCTAGATAGAGACGGAGTGTTAGAGTGTGAGTCTGAGAGAGCGATGAAGGAAGAGAAAGAAAGAGCAAGAGATGCATGTGTTAAATTTAGCTCAGCAAAAGAAATAGAAAAGATGGAAAGAAGCACAGATAGCGATACAGACAACTAGAATGAGAGACAGACAGGATAGAGATTCAGAGAGAGAGAGAGAGAGAGAGAGAGAGAGAAAGGGGATTCAAAGGAGATTCAAAGGATGGTTATGATTCCGTCAATCTCTCTTCCTTCTCTTTCTGTTGTTTTCTTACTCTCTTGAGAGAAAGAGAGTGAGAAAACATTAGTAAGGGGGGAGAGAGGTTGACAGAATCATAGCAGAAGTATGTAATTTCTATAGCTCGAGAGCCTCAGAGGTGGACAGAAGTGTAAAGCGTGTTCTAAGCAAGCGAGATAAAAGTCGCATCGGTAGATAAGTGCAAAAGTTGATTTAGGGAGAAGGGTACTAGATGGCCAGATGTTGACAACATTTACTCAGCTGAGTAGAGTGGAATGCCAGAGAGAGGGAAAGAGAGAGAAACCGACAGAGAGTTGAGAGTTCGCGCGACAGACAGGGTCAACATTTGTTTAGCTAGCCATAATTTAGCATTCCAAGTCGGAGCTGTTTAACTATCTCGCCGTCTGTCCCGCCGTCTGTCCTATTGTCCGTCCGTCTCTCAACTCGTCTGACTTTTGGCTTGGCTCATTGCGGCGTGGGCTGCGCTGATTACTTTAGATAAAGTTTACCCCTAAGGCCCTCTCTCTCCTTTGTTTTCTCTCTCTCTCTCTCTCTCTTTGTCGCTTTCTGCTTGTCTGCCTGTGTGTGGGTGTCAAGGCAGCGAACGCGCGCGCGTTCGCTTGTGACGTCACTGGGCACCATTTTGTTTGGCTTCGCGATCATTAATAATGGCAAATCTTGTGCCCGAGGCCATAAAAATAACAACAAATTACAAAGATAAGCAATTGCCCCCACAGCAACGACTTGGCAATGCTCTACACATGAGAGAGAATCTTATAGCTTATGATTGAGAATGATGATATTGAGCTAGGCATACCCTGTATATATTGGAGTAGCTCAATATAAGATTTGGGGGACCAGCACTATGGCTAACCATCGATAGATACATATATGGAAGAAAAAGATCGGGAGAATTGAGTTGAAGTTTGAAAAAAAAGATGTACAGAAGCAATAAGAGAAAATTAAGAAATAAAGCCTCCTACAACATTGCAAGGGGGTATATTCATTCGGGCTTGAAGGAGAATTGATAATAGGATATATGAAGAGACAAAAATTTGCAGATAGCAATAGTTTATTGAATCTGATATTGTATAGACATACATATATGTATATCTCAAATATATATATCTCATATGTATATAAAGTTCCGGTCGACTTTGAAATTATTTCATAGCTTCAAGAACTTTATCATTTAAAATAAAACTCTGATTTGTTACGTAAATAAATCTATCAACTATTTCTGAAATATATCGAGCCTATTCAATTTACCGGCATTTTAGATATCTATACAACATTCTTATAGACCAATCTCTCACATTCTCCTATACTCTTATAGACATTCTCGGATATATTCCACTTACATAGAGCTTCAACTTAGTCTCTAGTTTTACTACTTGCCCTGCAGCTAGCTTTATTTTGCAAGCAGCTTGTAAACTCTGCTAGCTGTCATAACTCTTTTATGATCTAATTGGATTTCTGAGTGATCTCAACTCTAGAACTAATTGACAAATGGAGATAGGGCTAGCTAGGACATTCAGACGCGATATATCTTAGACTATCATATACATATATATAAAAAACAAAGTCTATATACATGGAAATGAAACTTTCGCTATGCGGATCATTTGGAATGATAGCGCATAGTTCGCTTAACACTCGGGCATTATCATTATTGGATAGTGTTTTGGGCTTATATTGTTGCTGTAGTCATTGTTGTTGTTGTTGTTTTTTATATACATATATGGCATTTAGTCGCGGCCATCCGTCAGCTGAACAGGCCATAGCTCTGACAGCCGCTCATATCTAATCGCAAACGGGCAGCGAGCAGTGACGCTGGCAGCGCTGCTAGCGGCGCGACTCTGCGATTGTTTGGGGGGTTGGCTGGCCGCTTGAGTTATGACGCCCGCTAATGGTGTGACAAATCGATTGAAATGGGAGACGAGCAGCAGAGAGGGTAAAGGCGATTGCGAGGGCGCTTGAGAGGGAGAAGGAGAGCTGCATGGTCACGCAATTTCGCATTCTTTCTCTCTCTCTCTCTCCCTCTCACTCTCGTGCGGCCGCTCTTCGGTCACAGCCTCTGAGGCGGCCTCGACAGCGACGTCGACGGCGACGTCGACTTCCGTTGACGTCAGCGGCCCATCAAGCGGCCACCGTGTATGATCGTCAAAGTAATTACATGATCGAGCGGGCGTCGCTGTAAGCCACCAAATAGCAA